ACAGTGTCACGAGTTTGACGTCGTGTAATTTATTCTGTTGTAGCACGTCTTTTTTGCGCGTTTTCAAGTTCTCAGTTAATTTGCGATTCAAAGTGAATAAAATAACGTTCGGAGTTTATTTGAAAAACATCGTATAGGTAAACTGTAATTATATTGGCGTTAACGACCGGTTTCGTGCGTTAAATATGAACAGTTTACAGGTGTTGGTCTGCCCACATGATGTCGGAGATGTAATCTAACCTTAACGGCTTTCGTGTTATGAAGTTTGATTAATAAATGTCTAGGATTTATTAGAATATTCAACATTGGCAACGTATTTTATTAATTATATTTTGTTAACTTATTTAACGAGTGCGTAACATTAACTGTTCAAAGGTAAAAGAATAAATATAGTTAAAAAAAACCCAGAACAGGGGGTCGCGGCACAGTGGTGACGTGGTATAGTTGGATCAAGTATAATGATATATGACAGTGATTAAAATAACTATAAAAAAATAACAATTCGATGAAAATTTAAGATAGTGTTTAATTTAAAAAAAATGGTGGATTATTCCAAAAACTACATGATCTGCTAGTTCCTTATTAATATCCTGATTAATATAAAGTATGTCGAATGAAAAAGATTAATAAAATATTAATAAAAAATATTAAGATAAATAGATTAATTTAAAATAATAAAAAAATATTATTTTTCATAAAAAAATTATGTTGATCCATACACTTTTCAATATGTTATAGAATTATAAAGTTAAAAATGTAAAAAATAAAATCGAGAATTTTCTCATACAATAATAGCATTTTCATCGTGAACACAAAATAAAGTCCGAAATTTTTTTTTTTGCATAATAAAGTAATTTGCATTAGCTTTAATTTAAGATATATATAAAATATCAGACTTTCAGGAACATTTTCAAAAGTCAAGTTAAAAAAATTAATTTTTTGTGAAAAAGTTGTCATTTTAAATCTTTCCCTGTGAGCAGGTAAAGGGTTAAATGTATGCAAAAAATTTTGAAAATTAGCGATTTTTTGNTTTTTTTTATAGAATTCGGCATCCGGATGCCCCCAAACATCTGTTGCCCGGGGCAAGTGCCCTTAAAACCCTCCGTCAAATCCGGCCCTGTACCCAATAGTGCTATTTTCTGAACCCTGCACTTTGAAGGCAAACGAAAATTCGGAAATATTTTAGTAGACCACTTTGATGATGATTTAAAAGAAAAAAATATTTTTAAGAAGGGTGGACTTAAATACACATAAATTGTTACAGGGTCTTTACATTAACACTAGCTTAACTTATGGGGCTTTTTTCCCGACATTCCTTTATTCTGTTTTACAAAAAGTCTTGCGGGGATAGATGTCTTCATGGACGAAAAATATTGCGAAGGGAATATATGTGGTCCATGGGATAGTCTAGTCATAAAATTTATAGTTATTACATAATTTCGTAGAACGAGTGAAATTGTTAACTTAAACTACCGCCCCCCCCCCCAGTGACTAATCGACTACAGGCGATTTACTACATTNGTCACCACTGTGCCGCGACCCCCCTGTGCTGGATTTTTTTTTTTTAATTTATTTTACAATTTTTATAAATTATAATTTATAAAATTAATTAATATTATCATTGAATACAGATAACTATAGTATATTATATTATGTTGTATTACTATAGATAAAGTATATAATAATATACTTTCTATACTCAATAATATTACCAAAAAATTTATTTGAAATTTTTTTTGTTAATTTAGTTAAAATTATTGAAGTCTAGTGAAGTTCAATTTCGTCTATTTAAATTAGAACAATTTTTAGTAAATTACAGCGTAAAACACAAAATATTGATTTCAAAAATCAAATCAACTATAGGTAAATTTATAAAAGAGAACAGTTAAGAAAAGTAACTAATTAATTGAATACGTTTAGACGTTTGTATTTAAATTTGACTATTAGGACTGGCATTTGAAATCGTGGGACTTAGTGCAAAACATTTTTGCAGTGCTCTTAATATGTTTTTTGTTAAAAAAAATCATTTTTTTTTTTTGGTTATCGTTTTAGTTTGCGGGTCATAGAAAATAACGACAAAAAATAGGAAAAAAACTTAGAGAGTCTTTGAGTTGGGTGTATGCGGGATTTTTATTTAAAAATCTTGGTGAGCTTTTTGATCTCAATCATTTGATCACTTACATGATAATTCAATATAGTTCTCAGAAAAAACTGTCCATGTCAAGAATTTTGTCATGTATGATTCACAAAAATTATTCGGTTATTTTGGTAAAATGTTCTGAATTATAAAATTGTTACAATATTATATGATATAATTGGTGAATGACTTACATTGTTAGAACAATGCACAAATATAATTTTTTTGAACCATGAATGACATAAACTTATTTTTATAAATTTATAACTTTAGTTTTTCTTGAGTACCATGAACTATATTAATGAAAATTAATGTAGTCGATAATTTTATCCATTTTAGTTGTATACAGAACTATAAATAAAGATTTTTTTATTTATTTTATAATTACATTTTTGTAATGAGTAATAAGTTGGCTGCAAATTATGAATGAAACACCCTCCCCTAATAAAATAAGGGTTTAAGCTTTGCTTACATAGGTTTACGTTGTAAAAATGCATATATTTAATTTCAGATAACTTAAAAGATATTGATAAAAATGCGAACGTAGAACCATTTCAAATAGATATTTTGAATGATATACAAAAAGAAGTTTTTAACTGTTTCGTTGAAAAAAACAGTACACTGATCAATTATGGTCCATTGATAGCCACAGTCTTTAAAAAAAATAATTATCTTTCCGAAGAAAATGAAAAGGAACTAAACAGAAGCCTAATAATGTGTGATATCAATGATGATGGTCATTTAAATTACATAGGTTATACTCATAAACAAATAAATAAAATTAGAGCAAAAAAATTAAATTTCTAAAATTAGTTATTATAAATCTAAATAGATTGAGGTTATTGTTGTGGGTTGGGCGAGATTATTATATTATATAATAAATTTTATTCGTACGCTTAGATAGATATTTAATAATTAATTATTAACAATATCATATTCATAAATCATGGACAGTGATATAATTATTTATTTATTTTGTAACTTACCGTACGGCATCGTGTATCACGGTGTATTAATCTTATAGATAAAAATTACAATAGACGACCAGCGCTTTTTACCTTAGCGGCTCACCTATACACGTAGGTCATGACTATTATAATAATCCTTCTTATAATGTTATTTATGTAGAAATTTACCCAAACATGTATGAGGGTAGTTATTTACCGTTATACTTGAGCAGAATACTTTTTTGAATACCCTAGACATATTATTTTAAATCTTTATCTAACCTAAAAATATTATTAATGAATCTAAATTATGCAATTTATATATTCTACTTTATGATTTTGAGAGATGTGTATTTGTTTTAAATATTAACATTTCAATTTAAAAATTAATATTTAAAATATAAGTATTTGATGTTTTTGTAAATTATTATATAATTAGAGGAAAACTTTGAAAAAAAAAAGAAAGAATTTTATAATAAAAAACATGGTTAGTAAACATTTTTGGACATCAACTTTGATTCTCTTAGGTTAAGTAATTCATATAAAATAGTTTTTATATTTGAAATAATGATTGAAAAAGTTCCTAGAGATATTCGAAAAACGGTTCAATCCAAGTATGTTTTTATAAGTAAAATAAATAAATATTTGTTAAAAATAATTATTTATAAATAATGAACGTTTTATTTGATCCTCTTTTAAAAGTTATATAATTGTCAATTATATCCTTAATTCATAATAAAGTAATCAATTAAATAATTGAATAGCAAAAAATCTTTATTAAAATGTTTAAAATTTAAATTATTTTTATCTATAAAATTTATATTTTAATAAATTAATATTCATAAATCTAAAATACAACGTTTAACATAAATTCATATTAAATTTTTATGTATTGTATATTTACAGAATTCAGTACATTTATTAAAATTTGGAGTCCAATAGTGGTTAACAACATTTTACAGTCGTCCTATAAATAAGCCAATGTCTTTTAAAGGAAAATTATTAAGAAATATTTTAATTAGAATAAAACTTGAATGCATAAATAAATGATACATATTTTTTAAGTTATTTTATGATATGTATGAATAAAATTAGAAATAAGTACAATTATTACATGGTAATAGCAAGGAGCATTTTAAGTATTTATCATTTTAATAAAATTAATACAAGTTTACTCGTGTATAATTTTTCCTAATAAATGTAAGCTTTTTTGGGCAATGAGACATTATTTTTAGGTACGTCACTGTGTTTGAGAAAGTCATAGTTATAAATATAGTTGTACATCTGAAAGTGATTGTATCACTTTTATAAAATGTAACATTTTTCGTAACCAGAACAGTTC